TGGGGGTCAGGTCCCTTTAAGCACAGCCCTCAGCTAGCCTGAGACAGCAGCTCCACGCTCTAAGTCCTCATCTGATGCCCTGCCGGCACTGCTTCCGGCCATCCTTAACCCCGGCTCAGGGTCCACTTAATGTGGACATGCTAGTTCGAATTAGGAAAACGCTAATTCGAACTAGTTTTTTAGTCTGGATGCGTTAGTTCGAATTAGCTTAGTTCAAATTAACTAATTCGAACTAAATTAGTTCGAATTAGCGCTGTAGTGTAGACATACGCTAACACGGCTACATCTCTATCACAAGCTCCTTAAATCACTCAGCTCCATCCCTGAAGGCAATATAGAGCCAGGCTACTCACCTGCCACCTTTAGTTCGAGCAGGGCCTCCTCATAGTTGCTGCCATCCTGAACAAAACAGCTGTACTGCCCTTCGTCAGAGAGTCTGACGCGGGAAATTCTCAAGGCAACACTCCCACTGGGGAGACCGTCCCTCAGGAGTTCTGTCCTCCCCTGGTACTCTGGCATCTGCTGCCCGTACTCGTCCTTCCCAGCACTATAGCGATGCACGAATGGGGAGAGCTGGGACCGGAACCACGTCACCTCCATGTTCTCAGCGTTCTTCCGGGGGTTCAGGTGACAGAGTAACACGATCTCTCCATCCACGACGGCTGTGACCGGCTGGTCCGGGCCAAGCACTTTGAACTGAGCTATGCACCAGAAGACACGGAAAAGAAATACCGAGAGAAGAGCCTATGTATATGACACACACAAGACAAGCCCTGTTTTACTCACTGGCTGCATCTAGATTGAAAAGATTTTGCGCAAATACTTTTAACTGAAAAGTTTTTCTGTTAGAAGTATTTGTGCAAGAGAGCGTCTATACTGGTATGTGCCTTTGCGCAAAAGATGTGCTTTTGCACAAAAGCATCCGTGCCCAGTATAGACGCTCTCTTGCGCAAGAAAGCTCCAACGCAAGAAAGCTCCATTTTAGCCAGAGGGCTTTCTTGCGCAAGAAATGAACATTCCTGTCTACACTGGCCCTCTTGCGCAAGTATTCTTGCGCAAGAGGGCTTATGCATGAGCGGGAGCATCAAAGTATTTGCACAAGCAGCACTGATTTTGTACATTACAAAGTCAGTGTTCTTGCGCAAATTCTCGCGGCCAGTGTAACCAGGCGGCAAGTTTTTGCGCAAAACTTGAAAGTAGGAATAAGGGATCTTCCAGAAAAGGGTTTATTTTCCACAAGATCCCGTCTAGACTGGCGCTTTTCTCCGGCAAAACCCCGAGCCGGAAAAAAGCGGCAGCCATGTTCATGCAAATGCTGCGGGGGATATTTAAATCCCCCATGGCATTTGCAATTCCGAAGTGTCTCATTAGCATCCCTTTTACAGAAAAGGGTGCCAATGTAAACAACATAGCTGGAATTGACAGAACCTTAAGCTGAATTTGGCACAATCTTCACAGTGGGAGGCTGATAGGAGTAAATGCTCCCTTTTTAAGTCAGTTTCCCTCACTCCTCGCGACTGCCAGGGGAGGTGCTGTCAATGTTTGATTTAGCACAGGAGTGGGCAATAATTTTTGCGGGGGGGGAGAGGGGGCCACTCCAAGATTTTGATCAAGGGCTGCACTTTTCTGTGGAGGGGGTGTGGGGTCTAGGATGGAGGCTGGGGACAGAAAGGCACATGGGGTAAGGGACTAAGGTGCAGGAGACTGTGTGGGGCCTGAGAGGGTGTTTGGGTGAAGGAGGGGGTTGTGACCTGGGGCAGAGGGTTTGGATGGTGACCTGGGGGAGGGAGTTGGGGGGAGGGAGGGGCAAGGTGCCAGAGGCCAGCTCTGGCTGGGTGGCGCTTACCTGAGCCAGCAGCCCTGCAGCACCCCCAAGGCAAGCTGGGCTCCCTTCTTGCTGCAGGCTCTTCCCTCCACACTCAGGTGTTTGGGTGAAGGAGGGGGTTGTGACCTGGGGCAGAGGGTTTGGATGGTGACCTGGGGGAGGGAGTTGGGGGGAGGGAGGGGCAAGGTGCCAGAGGCCAGCTCTGGCTGGGTGGCGCTTACCTGAGCCAGCAGCCCTGCAGCACCCCCAAGGCAAGCTGGGCTCCCTTCTTGCTGCAGGCTCTTCCCTCCACACTCAGCTCCAGGTGTGTGTGTGTGTGGGGGGGGGGGGCAGTGGGGAGGGGGG